GTTAACCAATGTCATAAAACAGCATGTGTGTTACTGTTACATGAGAAACTATCTGTTCTGTAAGCCTTCACCTGAAGTACAATAAAATATTAAAAAAAAAAAAAAAAGTGACCATAATTCTGTGTGAGAATAGTTTATGATACATGTTTTTGGTACCAAGTGACAGAAACCCCAATCAAACTTTCTTTTTGTCTGAGCAGAAAAAGAGGCAGAAACATTGACTCATATAATGAGTAAAGCTGTCTTTAGCAATCTGTCCCCTTTCTCTCCCTTTCTGTATACTGGATTCATTAGTTTCTACTAGCATCTCATAGGCCTGGGATTAATAGAAGGAAAAAATTCTATCCTCACTCCAGCTTGAAAAATTTGAAGAAGACATTGAATTGTCCCCTTGCTTAACCTGTTGCTAGGTGATGAGAGTCTCTGACTAGAAATGCAGAACTGGTGTCCTTTTCTCCTTAGTACAGTAAGAGTTCTAAATAGAAGGAATTCTAAGCTATATAAACTGTGGCTTAGCTGCTATCACTATAGCCAAAACATAGCAAGTCTACGTAAGTAAAACTCAAGTGTAGTTTATCAAGAAATTAACTGAGCACATCTATTTTTTATCTTATTTTATTTTTATTTATTTATTTTTATTTTATTTTATTTTTTGTTAAGGGAATTAACCACTCTAGGGTGACTAACCGTCACAGTTTGCCTGGGACTGTGAGGGGTTCCTGGGATGTAGGACTTTCAGTGCGAACACCAGTAAATTCCCAGGCAAACCAGGACAAACCGGTTACCTTGACTCTAACAGTGCTAAAATATTAATTATTGCTGGTCAGGGGAATAAATATTTGATAACAGTGATATTTAATTTGTTCTCCCTTATCTCTGCAGATCTGAAGTCTACTTGCATTTTAATATTCAGTTTAAATGCCACATCTTCCTAACCAGCTGGAAATAACTCTCCCTCTTCTGAATTCACATCACAGTTTATCTGTGCCACTCTTATTCCACTTAGGACTTTAAAACACCTTTATCAGCATTATCTATAAACACATTTTATCTCTGACACTACATGACGAGTTCCTTAGGGCATGATGTATGCTTTATCTTTTATCCCCCATAGCTTCTAGCACAGTGCTCCACACTATATCAGAAAGGATTTATTAAATGGAATGAATGAGTCCACAAGTGAATAGATTATATTGAAATTATGAGTTGACACCATGGTATAAGGGAGGGATGGGAGAATGCTAATATGGCATTCAGAAAACCTAACTTTTGTCCTCTCTACCACTAAATAACTGTGATTTTGAACAATTTTCTTAACTTTGTGTAAGTACATTTATGTGTATATATGAGTGTGTGTATTTGTGTGTGCATGCACTATAGTTTCTGCAGCCAAAAATTGAGTTTCAACTAAACCCTTAGTATTCACTTTTAGCTTGGTCATCCAGTTTTCTCAAGAACTAATTCAAACTCAACCTCTCCTTCAGCTCTCTCTACTGTACAACCCCTTTTTCATTTTTATTAGACCATCACAACTCCTGCTTCACAAAGAAAATCTGGCTTGCAGGAAGATACTCCTTCACTCCACCCTCATACATTGTTAGGCATTATAAGTAGAATGCTGATTCCTTCTTAAAGATTTAGACATGCACGTCAGGAAGGATTAAACAACTATGCTTGTACATATTTGTAATTTAAAATCTTATGAATATATATTGCTTGATGAAAATACAGCATTTCTGGACCACTGTTTGGATTAACAAGGAGTCCTGGTGGCACAACAGTTAAGCACTCGTCTGCTAATCGAAAGGTTCATGGTTGGAGCTCACCCAGCAGCTCCAAGAGAGAAAGACCTGATGATCTGCTCCTGTAAAGATTATAGCCTAGAAAACTCTATGGGGCAGTTCTTCTCTGTTACTTGGGGTCTCTATGAGTCGGAATCGACTTGACCCCTAACGACATAACTACATTTGGATTAACAGCCCTTGTGTTCTAAGAACTGAGTAAAATAGATTAAAAGAAAAACTACTTTAGCTGTTTTATATTTAATATACTTTTAAATGCTTTTTATAAGCGAAAAGTTATTTGTAAAAATTTTCCTGTTGATTTCTTTGAAAATATAATTGACAGCTCTTGAACAAATCCCTCAATGTTTCCAAAATTCACATTAAAATATGCAAAAATATTTCTTTCATCAGTTGTCAATTAAAGTGTGATTATTATGCAGATTTTTATACATTTTTATAACCCAGTTTTCTATTGTTTTTAGCTACTGATGCAAATGTGAAGAATGAAAGTCTTTCATCTGTGCAGAAGCTTGGCATTAAAATGACAGTCAGGTATATTATAGGGAAATATCTCTTTGGTATATTTGTAGAATTTGTTTAATCTGCCTGGTATGTGCTTAATGGTATTTAATTTAATGCTCAACTATTTTGTATACTTAAGTACAGAGTTTATCTTTCAGAAAATAACAACTTGGTTTTTGAAGATATTGGCACATGATTAAATTACCTCTTCAGGTAATTCAGTTACAGTTCATTATTATTCCAGAGGCTGTGTAAGCCTCTATGACTACCAGGTTTTTTCAAAAATAACATTGTAAAAATCAGCATATTTGTACACAGTCATACCATTTTTTATAATATGGTTAGTTCTAATTGTAAGCTATGAGGATGCACACAGAAGTAACTTAAGGATAGATGCAGAAGTAAAAATGAATGAACCAGAATTATTGTATTTTGAATTTTTTTGTATTCAAATTGTAATTTTGAAAAGGAATGGGCAAGCTTAAAAGCAGTAGAATGGGAGATAAGGACTGAGTTCTTAAAACTTCCTTTCTTGCTTATTAAATAGAGATCTTTACAGTCCCATTCTATTTATAGGGTCATCTTCAGAATCAAGTATTAAAAAAAAATGCATGTGAAAGCTGTTCAAAAGACTGAGTGTTTTTTACAAATTCATAGCATTATGATGAAAATGGAAATACTAATTCTAGCTCTCCCACCTGTATAACATAGGGCATGTAACTATTTTGGTAATATTTTGTTACCCTGTACTCCCTATTTATGCAAATATTTTGTGATAACCCTACAACTGTTGTGAAATGTAGTCTATAGATAATACTAGCAGGCAAATCACATATTTTTAAAATTCTTGTAATATCTTATTCATAAGAATTATATGGAAAGTGATTTGTAATGAAATGCTTGGATATAGCCACAGTATAAGAAATCACTGGCACCTGCATGTAGAATCATTATGACTATGGCAGCTACAAATGCAGACTGATAGGGTTTTTGTTTTGGTTCCTCAAATACCACAATCAATGTTATCTTTTCCAATGTGACTTTCCAAAATGATGAACAAGTCTTAGTAAAGTTTCAAACAAAACAAAGTACTATCTTCCCTTGATTTAGACATAGTTATATTCAATGTATATTAAAATATAGAAAAAACATTCTATAATTTTATGTAAAACAGAAATAGGATCAGATAATTATAAATAGGTTTTCATTCACACAAATAATATCACAGGTGGTTGTTATGCAGGGCATGTCCCATGTCAAACCTCTTGGCCTTCGTCCTCTAAGTACCAGTAGCCCCCACCGGCCCATGTCACTCTGATAGTCAAAATGCCCCCATAAATTCCCATAGTGGTTCCTGGGGGAAGTACTACCCCCATTGAAAACCACTGGACTAGATGAATTCTAAACTGGCTTCTAGACTTAACATTCTGTAAATCTAACTCAGCAGCATTTCATGTTTTAGATTAAGTTCAAGAAAAAAAATACTTATATTCTAATATTCATCTACAGGATATCTAAGTTTGTTCTCTCATCACTGTGTCATCTTTCCTTAAACTTATCATTATTTACCATATCAGTATTGCTAATCCAAATATGTAATAATTATCAAGAACACATATTGAAAGTTAATTTTTCCTACGTGCTGTTTGTAACATATTAGCTAAAGGTGGAAATTTGAAAACTTAAAAACCTTGAGATTTCAAGAGGAATACACTCCAGTGGATTCAAATAATTGAATTTGCAATCCAAGTTCTGAAATTTTTCATTTCATATGTTTTGTGGCCTTTTAATTTAGGTATGGCAAATTCCTCAACCTGTTAAAAGATGGTGCAGAAAATCATCTTTCCTTGGTCTTAAAGCACTGTGAGAGATTCCTGAAGCAGCAGCAAATTCCTATAAAGTCTTCTCTTCATATCCTTTTTGAGTGGATTCATATTAGTTGAACTTTCTTTATATATTTTTCCTAGTTCTTTGATGGAATACCTGAACACATTTTCATTGAAATTATACTGTAACCTATATTAGTGATTTATTTGTTATGATATTTTCTTGTAGTATTTTTACTCTGTATTTAAAGTATTCATTCTGTTATATGGAATCATAATTATTAGATTCAGTCTTATTCATTGAATCTTCAACTGAATAATGAAACTTATTAGAATATATTTCAGACATATCTAAGAAGTTTTTAAAAGGCTGCTTTATCACTTCCATTTATCATTCCATTTTAAATGGTTAACTTTCAGAAATGGAGTTTCACTTGAAGAAAATGTTTACAAACTGTTTGCATTACTGAATTCTAAAAATGTGTGCATTTTATTATGATGCTTGATAATCTAGTCATTCAGGAGATAACTAGAGAAAGTATGGTACTGACGTGTTAATGAGCTGAACAATTCATTTTTCACAAAACCAAAAAAACTCGGTTGCCATCGAATCGATTCCGACTCATAGTGACCCCATAGGACAGAGTAATACTGCCCCATATAGTTTTCAAGGAGCGCCTGGTGGATTCAGACTGCCAGTCTTTTGGTTAGCAGCCTTAGCTCTTAACCACTACACCACCAGGGTTTCCTTTTTCACAGACTGGGTACTTTTTCTCTAGTTGCTAGTACCATTAGCCTCCAGTGGGAATGTGAGCACATAACCAAAAACCAAACCCATTGCCGCTGAGTCGATTCCAACTCATAGCGACCCTATAGGACAGAGTAGAACTGCCCCATAAGGTTTCCAAGGAACAGCTGGTGGATTTGAATTGCTGACCTTTTGTTTAGCAGCTGTATCCCTTAACCACTGCGCCACTAAGCACATAGTACATTAAAATAGTTATTAGGTAAGTGGTGAATTTTTCATTAGTAATAGCTTAAGTTTGCTTTAGTAGCATGTAAATTGATTGAAAACAAAGTGAGGACTAAGTACCATTTGGCTCTCTTCCTGGTAGAAATTCTGGAAATGATTATGGTGTTCTTATATTTAATTTTGAAAGACAGAATATTGTAAAAGTTCCTTAACTGTGTTTTTCAGTCTGCCTGCAGGAGAGTTACACTGGCCATGACTGGTTTGTGTCTTCTCTGTTCATGATAATGTTGGGGGACAAAGAGAAAACATTCCAATTTCTTCAGCAGTTCTCCCGGCTTCTGACCTCTGCTTTCCTTTGGTTGCCAAGACTGCATATTTCTGTAAGACTTTTTAGTCTGTTTTAAAGGAGAGTTTGAAATTTTAAGGAAAATCATATTTAAATTTATTGAGATCTTATTATTTGTAGAGGGCATGATGATAATTTATATTCATTTTATAACTGATACTTTCTACTGGTTCTCTTTAAAAGTACAGATTTGACATCATCTCAAATATTTTGGGTTTCAGCTAATGGTAACTAAATGAAAGATTAATGATAGAAGCATTTTAAATGGGTCATTGAGTAATTTATATTAGTTAAATTCTGTATGTGAAAGAGAAGTGTTGAATGAATATTTTTTATTGCTGCTTTGTTAGAATCTCTTGATGGTTAAAATCACAGTAAGAGAAAATCATTTATTAAGTAGAAGTTGTAGCTATATTCTATTGTTACTAGTTGCCATTGAGTTGATTCTGACTCACGGCAGGAAAAAAAACACTCTTTTTGTATATATTTTGGAGATCTGTACTGAGTTTCCACCACTCATCTGTCAGTTTGTCATACTCGGGTGGCTTGTGTGTGGCTGTGATGCTGGAAGCTATGCCACTGGTATTTCAAATACCAGCAGGGTTACCCACGGTGGACAGGTTTCAGCTGAGCTTCCAGACTAAGACAGACTAGGAAGAAGCACCTGGCGGTCTGCTTCTGAAAAAATTGGCCTGTAAAAACATTATGAATAGCAGTGGAACTTTGATATACTGCCAGGAGACGAGCCCCTCAGTTTGGAAGGCACTCAAAAGACAACTGGGAAAGATCTGCCTCTTCAAAGTAGGGTCGACCTTAATGATGTGGATGGAGTCAAGCATTCGGGACCTTCGTTTGCTAATGTGGCATGACTCAGAACGAGAAGAAACAGCTGCAAACATGTAGTAATAATCAGAATGTGGAATATATGAAGTATGAATCTAGGAAAATTGGGAATCCATCAAAAATGAAATGGAATGCATAAAGATCAATATCCTAGGTTTAGTGAGCTGAAATGGACTGTATTGGCCATTTTGAATCAGACAATCATATGGTCTGCTATGCCGGGAATAACAGCTTGAAGAGGAATGGCATTGCATTCATTGTCAAAAAGAACATTTCATGATCTATCCTGAGGTACAACACAGTCAGTGATAGGATAATATTCATACATCTACAAATAAGACCAGTTAATATGATTATTATTCAAATTTACGCTCCAACCACTAAGACCAAAGGTGAATAAATTGAAGATTTTTACCAACTTCTACGTCTGAAATTGATCAAAGATGAAATCAAGATGCATTAATATTACTGGTGGTTGGAAAACAAAAGTTAGAAACAAAGAAGGATCAGTAGTTGGAAAATACTGCCATAGTGATAGAAACCAGAAATACCCTTTAATACATTGATTTAATTATCTTCAACTACTGTTTGCTTTTGAGGAGCCCTGGTGGTGCAGTGGTTAAAGCACTTGGCTGCTAACCAAAAGGTTGGAGGTCTGAACCCACCATCCTGCTCCTCGGGAGAGAGATGTGTCAGTCTGCTTCCATAAAGATTTACAGCCTTGGAAACCCTATGGGGCAATTCTACTTTGTCCTGTAGGGTTGCTATGAGTCGGAATTTGATTCAAAGGCAGTGAGTTTGCTTTTCTTTAATTTTTTTTTTTAACTGAAAAAAAAGACTTTCTAAATGGTGCAGCAATCATTCTTTATGGAATTTTGTCAAGAGTCAGAGTTTAGCTAATTGTTAATATCAAAACTGCTGATAAAATGATTAATTAAAAAATATCAAGAAATCAGTTATTTTCATAAAGGAATGCCTACTATCAAATAATGATAAAAGTAACAATCATATGTATGAAAAAGTAGAACAAATTAAAAACTAAAATACTGTTCGTTTGTATACAAACAAAATTGCACTGATGATAAATTGGGGTAAAGTAATATTCAAACTGATGTAGTTCAACAAAAAGATCATGTGACAGTTATTATGGATGGTAGCCCTCTGTACTCCTACTGAAATAATAATTACCTTGTTTAGAAAATTTACAGTTAACAATTCTAATAGAATTCACATAGAAGTTAAAATTTTTTAACCTTAGCATGTCATGGTACACTTGCAACCCATTTGCAGGACATCAGCAAAAAAGAAAAGTCGTATGAGCAGTCATTTGTAGGAAAAGGACTAGCATCAAAACTGCTTCCCTTTCTTATATATGACTTTAAATCTTACTCATATTTGAAGATTCCATTTTCCCATTCTTTTGTTTTTCTAAGAGGAAAAAGATAATGTTTTCTAGAATTATAGGAGCCCTGGTGACACAATGGTTAAGCACTCTGCTGCTAGCAAAAAGGTTGGTGTTTGGAACATACCCAGTGGCTGCACGGGAGAGAGATCTGGCAACCTGCTCTAGGAAAGATTGCAATCTAGAAAACCCTGTGGGACAGTTCTGTTCTGTCACATAGGGTTGCTATGAGTTGAAATTGACTCAACAGCACCTAAGAACAACAGTTTTAAAAAGGATCTCCAAAGTTTTCTATTCACTCCTGTACATGATGCTCATAATGCACAAATTAATTACAACATTGCCGATAAAGCATGGCCCGTTCCCTGCCCGCAGGTTTGACTGTATTGTATCAGTTTGGATCAGTTTGAATTGAATTGGTGAGTTTCAGACATTTCTGATAGGGTCTTTCTACTTAATTTTCATAGCAACATAGAACTAGATTTTTCTTAGTGTCAGGAATAAAATGACTCAACAGAACTACCTATAATGGAAGAATAAAAACTAAAAGACTACTTACTAGGCTTCATTTTAAAACAAGTATCTTTCATTTTTAATCAGTAAAGTAAAATACTCTGAAGAGTTATTTTAAAAAATTCTTGTTTTATGTTATTATGTCACTTTCTAATATATCTCCCTAGTCAAAAGTTTTTACTGATAATTTTTTACAATTATATCTTAGAATAGTTTATATATTAATTTATATGTTACTTCCAGGATATATTAAATGCTTTTTCTTGCATGTATTCTGCTGTAGCCTGTATTCTAGATGACAGTTACCATCTTTTCAGGGAGTTGTGACTAAGCAAAATATATCAAAACACTAAAAGTATACCAAGTATAATTTATCAGTTGCTGATTCAGAAGATTGTTTATTATATTCATGTGACTCAGTTATCATTATTGATCTGGTTTTAGGAACACCATTTACTGTAAATTACAGCTGTGAATGACAGCTAATAGACTGATTAATAAAACTTTTATTATGAGTGAGTTTACCATGATTATAATGTGCAATCCTTAGTATCTTTTCTTGTTGTATTTCAGTCAGCAATATACTGAGCAGATACTATATACAAGTCTTGGTGCTAGGATCTGTGTTGGTTATCAAAAAGTATGGCATAATTTCTTCCAGAGTATAATCCGTAAGAGTAGAAGAACTCTTGACTTATCTTGAGAATCTATGACATAATAATGGCTTCAGAATATAATTAATAAGCCTTAGTAGACCTACTGTAAAGATGTTCTCAATGCAACATAAAAATGATACTATATAATAATCACTACATAAAAATGGAAATCTTATACTACTATTATACATGTATTTAGACAATTATTACCTTAGTTTGACTGTATTGAAAATTAAAATCTTATATATGTGTAAGTTTATTTTTTACTTTCGTATATGCTTATTGTTGTGTTGTTGGTGGTGGTGTTATGTGTGTGTTGTTGTTGTGTGCTGTTGAGTCAATTCTCACTCATAGGGACCCTATAGGACAGAGTAGAACTGCCCTATAGAGTTTCCTAGGCTGTAATCTTTATGGGAGCAGATCACTAGGTCTTTTCTCCTATGGAGAGCCTGGTGGGTTCGAACCACAGACCTTTTGGTTAGCAGCTGAGAGCTTAACCACTGCTCCACCAGGGCTCCTTTCATATGCTTATTAGAGTCATTAATTCTATAAATAGACGTTAGTGAAACATTGTGTATTTCACTAAAGAAGATGAATTGAAGAATGTTTATCCTCATTCAGTCCATATAATTATCTTTAGCTACTCAAATAAGTAGCTTTTTTTTTGTTGTTGGTCTAGACATCTTTCTAAAGAAGTTGCTTTTTTTTCCTCATAGACATCTATCTAAAGTTGACTGTAAGATGTCTATTTAATCTGCTGTCTCTGTATTTAGCCATCAGTGTATGGAATTAATGTTTTTTCTTGTACTATGAGGTGTCTTCCTGAGAATCTGTCATAAAAATACAGATTTCTACAATGTGCAATGATAAAATGACAAGAAAACTACTGACAAATCCAGCCACTTATTTCAGAAATTTTAATGTACAACTTAAACCTGAATCCTTAAAAGCAGCTTAGCAATATAAAGTTTGAAAGAAATCCTTAATATTTTAACTGTTATGAAATTATTATATATGAATTT